GTGGGGCCACTCGGTATTGAAGCGATGTGAGGCGCTCCGTAGAGGAGATTCCATGTCTGTCGAATTGCAACGCCAGTATGGGACGGAACACTTCCACACACACTGCGTGTGTAGGAGAGCGTCTCAACCAAACCACTTCAAAACATTTTTCTTTTCGCTGTCTACTCGCTTCCTAGGACGAGATGCGAAAACCAATCTCCATCGGAGCGCCACGGATGACTCATATTCGATGCAAGTGCCGTCATGGCTTAGCGCACGCAGGATATGCCTGACGTGATCAACAATGGGTGGTTCTGCAAGGACGATTGTACAGAGAAATGCTTGGAATTCGCTTATTTGGCCACCAAGCCAGCAGGCCCGACGCTCGTAGTCGTCAAGAGCGGGTTGAACCCGAGCGTACGAATGTCTTCGTCAGGGATACCGAGGTCCGACATCTTGCCTTCGTACGTCCGCAGCGCGTCGTTGTACGCCTTGCTCGCCTTGGCGACTTGGTACTGCAGATCGCGCACTTTGGAGTTTTTGGTCGAGAGCATCGTATCGAGCTTCTCGGTGACGCGACGCACTTCGCCTGGCTCGAGGTGTGCGGCTTGCAGGATCTACCAATCGTGTTCGTCCCACATATCTCGATGCGTCGTCGCACCTCGTCCAGTTGTGCTTGTTTCTTGTTGTGCTGCTCGCTGAACGAGCTCAAGCGCTGCTCCAAGACGAGGTTCTTGTACTCGCCCTTGGTCTGCACCGTGTGGATTGTGTGCTCAAAGCTGTCGTAGAGGGCGTTGCGGCTCGCTTCGAGCATCTTGTACGCTTGAAGGAGCTCCTGGTGCTCCTTCTTCAGCTGCACGCGTTGCTTCCCAAGAAGCACAAGCCGCGCTTTGGCGTTTCGGAGCGAGAGTTTGTCCTTTTGCTCGTCCTTGAGCTCGTGCTTGAGCCGCTCGACCTCTTGGATCGCGGCGGCCAAAGGCTCGGACAGCCGCTTGTTTTCGTGCGAGATGTCGTGCATGAGCTTCGTGTTGGCCGCGGCCTTCTTCTTCATCTCAGCGATCTCTTTCTTGAGGGACTCGATTAAGCGCAAATTGTCCTTGGTAATGTCGTTGTAGTAATTCTTCATCTGCGTGAACGCGCGCTCGTGGTTCTTCATGAGGTCGTTGATGTGCAGGTTCTTGCGCTCTTCGATCTCGTGGATGTCGACCTTGCGCCGGAGCTCGAGGTCTTCCTGCAGCTGCGCAAGCCGTTCTTTCAGGCGGTCTTCGAGCGCCGCGTTGTTCTTCTCAAACTGCTCGCGGAGCTTGAGCATGTTCTTCTCGTGCGACTGCTTCATCTGCTCGATCTCGTCTTCGTTCGAGAGCTCGCGCTCCTTGAGCTCGAGCTTGAGCGCTTGTTTCGCGCCCTTGAGCTTGTGCTCGCGGTGCACGTGCATGTCCTTCTCTTCGTCGATATGCGAGCCGCCGTCCGTCTTGACGCGCTTTAGGTTGTTCTTGTGCTCGTACTCAAGGTGCTTGACCTTCTGGATGTACACACGGACCTCGACGCGGTGGTTGTCCTCCATCATCTCCATCTCGCGGTCCTTGGCCATGATCTCCATGTCATGAGTCTCGACTTCTCGCTTCGTAATGTCGTAGAACGACTGAATCGTATCCTAATTCCGCATTCCGCATGCAGCCATGCAGCCATGCGCCCACAGAAGATGGCGGATGGCTTACCCGCTCGTGCTGGACGTAGTTGCGGTCGACCTGCGACTTGTCGAGCTGCTGGCGAAGCATTTGCGTGACCTCCTTGAGCATCTCGACGTCCATCGTGTCATACTCTACACACAGCAGAGTGGAACCATGGCTCTCGGCCCATCCTATGCGTACCCGACGGCTCTTCCGGCGGCGCTTCCTCTTCCTACACGGTATGCATGACGTCTACCTCGGTGATGCTTCCATGCGATGGACCTTCTTGCCCTTCTTGCCCTTCTTCTTCTTCGCCATCGCCGCTTCGTCTATGAACTGAAACTGCTGCTGTGGATCTTGTCACACTGGATTGGCCAAAATGGGCTCCATTGCGAGCATATAATTGGTTCAATTCGAGAAAAGCGAGTGCGTGCATTCGAATTTTCAGGTTCAGATTGGCTCGTCGTTCCTCTCAAAAGCAATACTGCATTTCTCCAAAACCTGTGCACTGAATCTCAACAATGGACGGTCAACCATCCGCGTCGCCCGAGGCCACGTCGTTCTTGACAGCGACGCCCAAGGAGCTTACGCGAGCCTACATCCTAACGAGCAACAAGGGCAAGTTTGCCTGCTCCGACGACGTCGCGATGCTGCGTCATGTCCTGCGCTGGTGTCCGTGGGAAGCGGCGCATGGCAGCGTCATGGCGACGTGGGAGCGCGTGGCCGAGGACGTCGCCCAGTCGCCCGACTTTAAGCTCAAAGGCAAGACGGGCGCCGCACTCAAGTCGCGCTTCGAGACGCTTCTCGTCAAGTTTTGCGCCAACGACATGCAGCGGCTGCGCAAGCTGGGCACGCCCGCTGAGTTTGCCGAGCGCGAGGTTCTTTTGACTGACATTCGACTTCAAATGCAGGGACCGTCCGAGGGCGACGAGACGCGGGCAGAAGCTGAAGTCGAAGACGAGAATGCGGGCTTGATCGAGCTGGCGACGGCGTCCGGCGTCACCGTTCGCGCCATCGAGGTCTCATCACTTAACGACGAGCCACCTACTGTCGAAAAACCCTCCATTGCCGATGAGCCATCTGTAGTCGACGAGGCTGCGATGACATCCGAGCCCTGTTCACCAGAGCTACACAGTGGCTCGAGTCCTCGGTCACAAACCGCTCGCCCCGAGAAGCGCAAGGCGGCGGCGCTCGAAGCCGAGGACAATTCTCTCACGGCGTTGCTCGCACGCACACTGTGCGAGAACCACGCCCAGGACGCGGTGTGTGCTGAGGCGACGCTTGCTCTAGCGCGGGATCGTTTGTCGTTTGATCGCGACCAAGCACGACTGCGTCTCGAGCTCGACCGGGAGCGACTAGCCTTTGAGCGCGAGCGTCTCGGGGTCGACCGCAAGCTGGCGAGCGTGTTAGCTGAGCAGGTGGCTCAGAACCAGCGGTTGCTTTTGACCATTGTTGACAAACTCAGTGCCCAATAGCCTTTGCGGTTCAACGTTTTTGTCGTACATTATCAACCTTTGTTCATTGTTAGTGAAGTCATAACTTTTACTTATTGCTTTTTGACGCGGATCATTTGTCGGGTCACCGCCAATCTATCTCGCACGCGGAGCCTTGGTTTGGCGGCTCCATGTGCTCGTCGTCTCTGTTGTCGAACGCCATATTGTTGAGCTCTTCGTCGCACCTTGCGATATCGGACATGGAGAGCGAGACATGTGACGGCATCTTGCCTATCGTGTAGCTGGTCAACTATGCTTAGCATAGACATTTCCAGATTAACAGTATTTTCGTTGACAGTTTTGGGAGGGCAACCTCAATCCAACAAAGCAAATCTCAACCTCAAATTCGAGGCTCCCTTTTTCTCGATTCCGATGCCAGTACAGGAAGGTTGCAACTCGCTGTACTACCAACAATTCGCTTGTCTACAGTATACTCGTAGTGTACTATGACCAAGATCAAGTGCTGGTTCGGACGCACGCTCCTTGTCATGCACGGTGTGATGTGTATCTTGATCAACACTCTTCATTTTTATGGAACACTATATGCATATTTCATATGAAACGTCAATAGTGTGTCATACGCTAATTCCAGCGAATCTAAGAGTGGCCGAGTTCCAGCGAACGCTTTCGTCGTCATGCGCCGCTTCTCGACCGTCAACAAGGCCGAAGTGAGCAAGTTCACCCGCGCTGCGAGGTAGCGGATGATGCTAGGAAGAGGCTGCTCATGCACACAACTCGGCTGCGTCTAGCGACTGGTGGAAGCCCGAGAGCAACACGGGCGTAGGCCTCCTGCATCAGCTCAACCCGATCCGCGTCAAGTACATCCGCGAGCAAGCGATTGCGCACTTCAAGAAGGCGCCGCTCGATGCGCAGTCGGCATGGCCGCTAAAGGGCCGCCGCGTTCTGGATGTTGGCTGCGGCGGCGGTATCCTCTCGGAAGCGCTGGCCCGCCTCGGTGCCGACGTCACGGGCGTCGACCCAGGCCAGGCCAACATTGAGGCCGCGACCGCGCACGCGCTCGGCGACCACGAAACCGCGTGCAACCGCTACATTTGCTCGACGGCCGATGCGCTCGTGCAGCAGAAGGAAACCTTTGAGATTGTGTGCGCGCTCGAAGTCGTCGAGCACGTCGACGACGTTCCTGCGTTCATCCAGCAGCTCACGCAGCTCGTCGAGGTACGCTTCCACTTTTCAACGACACAAGTCAACCAAGTCTCTCGCATGTAGCCCAACGGTGTGCTCTTCATGTCGACGATCAGCCGGACCGCGCTTTCGTACTTGACGACGATCCTTGCCGTCGAACACGTCCTCCGCCTCGTCCCGCCGGGTACGCCGCTGCTCCTGTCGACATCCCTTCTCATGTATGGACATGTAGGCACGCACGAGTGGTCCAAGTATGTGCAGACGCACGAGCTGACGGCGGCGCTCGAGCAGGTACGCACGTGGTTTGTCGAGCTGCATTTCTTGAGCACATTGCTAGAATGGCATGCGTGTCGAGAATGTCTCGGGCATTGTCGGGGACCCGTTCGTCACGGGCTGGCGCCTCAACGAGCGCTGCACCGACATCAACTACATCCTCTGCGCGACCAAGAAGGCGTAATCACCGCATCCGACCACACCATTTCACTTTCCTAACGTCACAGTTTTCATTCTTCATACATTAGTTACACTCACCGCATCTCACAAATCGTCGTCCGCAAGAAGCGCATACTCGACGCCGTCGTGGGGACTGCCGTTCGGCGATGCGTGCTGCTGGAACGAGCGCCCGGCCTTGGACTTGAGCGTCTGGAGCAGCTGCCGCACCTTGATCGTTCGCCACGACAGCTTTCGCGCCGGTGTCCGGTCGTGCTCAATGTAGCCGTCCGTGGCGGCCGCATTCGTGGGCGACGGAGCGAGGTGTGGCGCCATAGCCCACGGAGAACCCACCGAGCAAGATGCAAAATGAACTTGTTGAAGTTGCTGATTTTTGGATCTTGAGCAAAGTATACTAGAAAACGTCGAATCTTCGTTTTTCGAACAAGCTACGAAGACGCATGGAAGTGACCCGCCTGCATGTAGAGGGCGTCGAGGGCTGCGACCTTGTCGGCGCCATTGGTGTCGATCGCGAGCGCGCGCCGGACGCGGTGGTAGAGCACATGACGTCCTTGCGCCGACGCCGGCCACTGCGCCATGTCTGAGAGCGCCAGCAGCTCTTCAAAGTGGTGTTCATGGGTATCTACGCAGAGAGAAGATGGCTGCAACCGCCGAGGAAGATCCTTGCAGAGAACAGTACGTACTCGTGGGCTCAAACTCAATGTACACGTCGCCCGTTTCGGCGAAGGAGCTAGCGCAAAACGGTCAGCAGCGGACGGGCGCAGCCCGAACTACCTGAGTGCTTGGTTTGTCGCGGCCGAAACGTACACGGTCGGGAGCGCGAGTGGCGCCGTCTCGCTCGCCACGTCGAGGGCCACGCGGTGCAGAATCTGCGATGGACTCGTGGCGGAAAAGACCACCCCGAGCGCCTTGCTGGCCGCGACGGACTGGACCTACGCAGACGACTACGATCTGCATCGCCAAATAAGAACGTACTTGGCGCTGCTGCGAACAGCCTGTGGTGATGGGCGCCACGACGAACGCGCCCTTGACATACCGCATAACCGCGTCGCTGCAGAGGTCGTGTATGGCGAACAGGACCTTGAAGCGGCCAAGACCGAGGCGCGGGCTCGCCGCCCCCTTGAGGTACTACATGGCAACGACGACACCGTGTGTCTGTGAGCCCATCAAGTCGCTGGGCGCTACCGGGTACGCGTGGAGCTGTCCGTGCGCGAGGGCGATGAGGTTGCCAGCGGTCGCGGTCGCCAGCGCGTCTTGCACGGTGGATGCCAGCGTTGTGGCGGTTGCCGTCGTGTCCTTGCATTGCGGCGACACGAGGAGTGAGATCAGGGGCGGCTTGGGGCTGGAGAGGACCATGCTCGCCATCTTTTGACCTGCAATATGCATGACGCATGGGTAATACGAGACGATCGAACCTGAGGCGTGCGAGACCATGATGACAGGTGTTCGAATCGTGCCGGTGTACTGCGGCGGCAGTCGCACGGCCTCGGGCTTTTTCTCCGCGTACTGCGCGAGGAGGACGCCGCGGCCACCCGCGCGGCCGACCACGATGGCTTGCTGGTGCGGCGAGCACAAATGCGAGCTTTGCGCGATGACGTAGTGCTCCGAGACGTTGTTGCGCAGCGGCGAACACGCATCGATTGGCTGCGCGACCGTGAGCGGATGCGCGAAGCACTGCGGCCAGTCGCCAAACTCGGACTTGAGGGCGAAGAACGTCTCGGTCCACCCGCCGTTGACGACCCGCTAGTTGGTACAACTCATGCTCGTATCGACTAAGGACATGTGCATACGACGGTCGTGTCGTCGAGTGGCGCCGCGTCGAGCACGCAGCGCGGTGTCGCGGCGCGAAACAGCAGTGTGCGGGGCACCTCGGCGGTCTGCAGCTGCGTGATCGCACGTGAAAGGCCTGTCACGCCGACGCCGTTGACGCTTACGAGCGTGTCGCCCACCTACGTACGTGCGTCGCTATGGCGCTTGCAACTGCCAAGCAGACCTCGACGAGGCCCGTGGCTTCGAGAGGTCGGCCGCGGCCCTGATCGTCCTGCACAAACGACAGAATGCGGAGCTTCTCGCTCAAGAGCGCGCCGAGCGACTCGGCCGTCTCGAGCACGACGCGAATCTCCGAGACCTCCTCGCACGCCATCGCCATCGGCGCCAGCAGCAGCAGCAAGAGCAGTGCATGCCAGCCCCATGGTGGTCCAGCTGCCATGGGGTCTCCTACCTGAAACGTCCAAATATGCTAGTTCTTTCCATCAATGTCCATCCGCCTCGATTCCAAGGGCGATGATGCTGCACCAACAATGAACAAGGGCAGAGAAATGCATGTACGTTGACGTCGCCGCCATAACGACGAGGTTGTTTACTTGGCGACGACGAGGCCGAGCGTCTCTTCGCCAATCTTGGAGAGCTGGCAGACGTCGCAGAGGCTGCCAGCGCACTCGGCCACATACGACGACGCGCAGTACGGGCACTTGACGCCGTCCCCGTTGTAGAGCGGCGTGAGCGTCCGCGCGCAGAGGGCAAAGCCGCGCGCGTCGCTGTAGTCGACTTGGTGTTCATTGCGGGCTTCCTTCTCGGCCTTTTGCAGCACCTTCTTGGCGGTTTGCGCGAGCTTGATGTTCTTCTCCGTGTTGACTTCGGGGATTTCGAGCAGGCGGCGGCAAAACGACGCGGCCGTAATGTAGTTGTTGCACTTGTACGCGTTCGTCATCGCGCTCTTGAGCGTCAGCATCATGTGCGACGGCTGGAGGCGGCAGTGCGTCCAGTACGCGCTGAGCTCAATGTTGCGCTTCGGGTCGGCTTCCAACGGCACGCTCGTCAGCGCCGCGCGGAGACGGCACGCGACCACATACTCGCGGCAAATGACCGCAAGCTCCTTGACCTGCGCCGCCTGGTCCTTGTTGTCGACCGACAACAGCGGAATGTGGTGCAGAATCGACCGGCACGCGCTCTCAACGTCGTCAAACTTGGCGCCGCTGAACGCACGGTACGCCTCCTTGAGCAAGCCCACGAGGTGGTGCACGGACGTTGTGATCGCCGGTTCGTGCGCCGCCGACCGCTGCAAGTACGTCTTGAGCGACGCCGACGACGCCTGCGTCGGCACGACGCCCGACGCGCCCGCGTACAGGCTCATAAAGAGCGGCTGCAACGGCGCAAAGTTGACAACGCCAATCTGCCGGTGGAGCAGCTGCATCGCCGTGTCAAACGACCCGGCGGCCACGTGCTCGGCCGCAATCGACGACGCGCGGGTCCACTGCGTCGGGACGGGCGTGCCGGCGGTCGGTGCGGCGACAAAGGAGTCGGTCGACGGCACCGCATCTTGAAAGTCGTCAAGCGAGAGACGCTCCTCATTGTCGCTGAAGAGCCCGTCGTCTTCGTCGCCCCACGCCCCCGCGTCCGCGTCAACCATAAAGTCGTCGCTCTGCTTGCGTGTCGCCTCGATGCTGCGCCGCGGGGCCTCGTCGCCCAAGTCAAACGCCGGCGTCTGGCTCGCTTGCTGGTCGGCGGCGACCGCGTGGTCGGCCATCGTCGGCTCGTTGAGTTCGACGAGCGGCCAGTTTTCATTCTGCAGCTGCGAGACCGCAAACGGCGGCAAGAAGAGCGCCGCGTCCGGTCGCACTTCGCGCGACAGGAACGCTTGCACGTCAAAGCTCGGGTCGTTGGCCTCGAAATGCCCAATCAGACGCGCGACGTGGTCCTCGAGGCCGTGCGTCGCGGCCGTGAGGAGCGCAAGCGCGTGCTGGCCCGCGGCTTCGAGCGCGTCAATGCGCTCGGGCACGTCGCCAAGGTACAAGGCGTTGTGGAAGCGCGACATGATGTCGTTGCGAAGGCCGGCAATCTTGAGCATCTTCTTGAGCTTCTCGCGGTTGCCCGTGATGAGGTACAGGAACGAGAGGCGTTCAAAGTTCTTTGTGCGCTGGTACGCCATCTCGACGACCGAGATGTTGCCCTGGCGCAGCGCCTCGACACCGAGCTGGTGCCAGCAGTTGGCATCGTCGAGCTCGTACGCCGAGTTGAGCGCGACCTCCAAGTTGCCACACGAGATCGCAAGCTTGAAGCGCGTCTTCTCGTCGTTGACAAAGTGCAACGCGACTTCCGGGTACCCTTTCTGCGTCAGATACGTAATGATGGCCTGGCCACAGAGGCGCGAGTGCTTGACCATGCGCATGACGGTCGTAAACTGCTTGGCCGCGAGCGCGAGCTTGAACTCGCACTCGGTGAGGTCGATCGAGAGGATGCGCATCTTGGCGTCGCGGTCGAGGCAGTAGAGCTTCGAGTCTTCGAGGCGCGTGAGGTAGACCGGCACGTCGAGCGACCGGATGAGACCCGAGTCGCCGTTCGGGAGCGCGTACTTGATGTGGTTTTGCGTCGTGTAGACAAACACGTCGCTGCCCCAGACGCCACTCTTGACCTTGACGAGCTCCGTCACGGTGCAGAGGTGCTTGAAGCTCTTGTCCGCAATGTACACCGAGTGCTTGCTCAAGAGCGCCACGTACTCGCCGTTGGGCGACCAGATGACATACTTGACGCGCGGCGCGACCAAATCCGCGAGCACGCGGCGGCTGTCCGTGTCGTAGAGCACCATCTTGTCGTCGATGCGGAGCAGGACGCGGCCGACAGTGCCGCCGGGGAAGAGGCCGTCGGTCGTGCCCGCGGGCGGCGTAATCTTCTTGACGATTTCGTTCTGCATGTTTTTGATGACGAGGTGGCGCGACTTGTCAAGCACGGCAAAGCGCTGGCGGGCGACAAAGACCGCAAAGAGCGCCGTGCCGCGCGACGAGTCGGACACGTCGTTGTTCGACGGCGTAAACGTCACGAGGTCGTACGACCCGCCCTCGGCGTCGCTGCAGAGAAGCACCGAGTTGGACGCCGCGTTCGGCGGGTCAAACGGGTTGTAGTGCATGTAGCGCGGCTGCTGGCCCATCTGCAGCCCCGAGCCCGACCGACGAAGCGTCGCGACCGGGTTGTCGCTGCCATCGACAAACTTGTACCGACGCACGTAGCGGTCCTTGACGTAGAGCACGCCGCCGTCGACAAAGTCGAGGGCCGGACGCTCGCGCTCGAGCTTGAAGACGATCATGCCCGAGTCGTGGCCGGCGGCGAGTAGGTTTTGCGTCGGGTGCGCCTGCAGCATCCAGAACCGATCGTTCTCGCGACGGAACGTCTGCAGACCCATGCGCTTTGCGATGTCCCAGACGCGAATGCTGCGGTCTTCCGAGTTGGAGATGATGAGCTCATGGCGCGGGTGGAAGATGACGCACGACACGTTGTTGGTGTGTCCGCGCATCGTGTCAACCTCCCATGCCTTGGTGTCGTTCATGCGCCAGAGCTTCACCTGCCGGTCGTCCGAGCCCGACACGATGAGCGGCAGCGTCGGGTGGAAGCTTGCCCAGTTGACACCACGGTCGTGGCCTTCAAGGACGTACTTGACGACAGCGTCACTCGCGCCAAAGAGGTCGGCACCCGAGCGGCCGCCGACACCCGGCGGCAGCGAGTCTTCCATCGTCGACGGCGCACCACGCACCGTCTTTTTGCGGAGGCCCGTCGTGTCCCAGACGCGTACCTACAGCATGGTCGAGTGAGATGTCGTCATGACGATGCCATGCGATACCGTTTGATCGAGCGACGCCGACACAATGAGGTCTTCCTTCGGGTGGAACATGCAGCTCATGACGTAGTGGTTGTGGCCCGTCAAGACTGAGACGCACGAACGCGACTGCCAGTTCCAGATGCGAATGGTTTGGTCGTCCGAGCACGACACGATCCACGGGTACTCGTGGTGAAACTGCACCGTGCGGATATAGTCGAGGTGTCCGAGCAGCGTGAAGAGGCAGCGGCGCAGCTTGTAGTCCCAGACCTTGATCTTGTAGTCGTCGCCGCCCGAGACGAAGAGCGGCTGGCTCTTGTGGAAGTCCACCGAGCGAACTGGCCCATCATGCTCGTCGAAGCGGTCGATGAGCGTACCCATGCGGAAGTCCCACAGCTGGATGACGCCATTATGGAGCGACGTGAGCACCCACGGGCGCGACGGGTGGAAGCACAGGCCCTTCACCCGGTTGCTCTTGGACTCGAACTTGGTCAACATCCCAAAATGACTGTCCCGGCCCCAGGCCCGCCCCTCGTATTACATTCCTGCAAATATGCATTGTCAGAGGTTTCATTTTTGGTGGCAATCGCTGATTGGCTGAATTAGCACCATCCAGGTGCTGCATTCTGATTGGCCCGTTCGGGCAAAGATCGCAAATTTGAAGGTCGACCAGCCTGAAAAGCACGCAGAGCGATGTATGCTGCTAGGAAGATAGGTACTATGGAGATGGAGAGGCGGTATCGAAAGCATCTACAGCGCTTCGGCAACTCGTAGAACGACATGTTCTTGCATAAAGCTAAGGTGGTCTGCAGAGACGCGCTACACCACACTGCATCGATACCCCGAGTCCTTTGTCAATCACCAGCAAGTCCATCATACTACTGCCAGGGGCTGCCAGATACACGTTCACTTTCTTGTGACCTCGATATCACCGCCGTCGTTTTTTAGAGTGTACAATCCCACAAATCTCACTCCCGCGTCATCAAGGTACATGTGTACAGGCACACAAAAGGCTTTGAGATCAACACAGATGACCAAAACGCTGCCTCGCTGGTTAAGAGGTGCAGCTTGAAGAGTCCCAGGCAGCCCTTGAACGATTGACATCACTGGTCAACTTGAATTTTTCTCCGTGCAGTCGTAAGTCTATGGCTTGCCTTCAAGTTTCAAACGAGATCAATAGGCAACAGCTTCCGTGGTTACCACCGACAGGTATTACTGCGAGCGCCTGTCATTGACTCGGTTTCATTGACCCATCGCGTTGGCGGCGATTCCAAAGGCCGCAGAAGACAGCACAACGTCCGTTCGTCGGTTGGCCAAGGTTTTCTTACTGTTAACGTTCGTTCGCGCTTCTTCTTGTTCTACTTCTTCGACTTTGGTGCACGCACGGCTTCCGAGGATGGGGGACATGCGCCAACCTTTCAGAATGGTCTCATGCACGAGGAGCATTTAATTCAACTACCTGCTTCCATACCTGACGACGCTTCAATCTTAGTTAGTTAGTTGCTGCGTCGATTAGTCCATCACGAGAACAAGTTGGCGTTGGTCCGTTGGCGTCCATCTCGCGCCGGGTGGGGGGTCCCTGGCAAAAATATTGTTCGGCATGACCGCGCATCTATGTGTTCTCACAGGTTGACGTAGGCAGAAAAGGTCGCGTGGTCGCGCGGCGAAGAACATGCGTTGTGCGCATATATAAAATAATGGAGGTTTGGACCACCGACCCGATTTCGAAACCATTACGTGCAATCGCTTCTGGCCAATGGTCACGAAAAGTCAGTGACGGAGGAGGGGCCAGTTTTGCCTTTTTTCAGACGACGCGATGGCCGAGGAAGAAGCCGACTGCTGCCCCCTCTGCATGGAGGAGCTCGACCTCACGGACAAGACCTTCAACGCATGTGCATGCGGGTACCAGGTAGGCGTCGCCACGCCGGCGCCACGACGTCGGTCATCATGGTTGTGCAGGTGTGTCTATGGTGCTGGCATCAAATTAAGAACGAGTACAATGGCCTGTGCCCGGCGTGCCGAGCACCGTACACGGAGCTCTCGAAGAAGAACACGACCATTGACCGAGAAGAGTACGTCTGCGACTCGACGGCAACGACTAACGCGACCTTGCAGTGTGGCGCGGCGAACCAAGCAGCGAAAACAAAAGGAAAAGATTGAGAAGAAGGCGACGGTCGTGCCGAAAGCGCAGCCCGTGAACCGGAGAAACCTCACGAACGTGCGCGTCATGCAGCGCAACCTCGTCTACGTTATTGGGCTGCCCGTGCATTACGCCGACGACGACGTACGCATCTCGGAGGCTTGCATCATTGGTGCTCATGCATGCTGTAGATGCTGCGATCGCAAGAGTGTTTTGGGCAGTATGGGCGCATCGTCAAGGCGGTCGTCAACAAATCGCACCTGAGCACGGACCGCAACAACGCGACGGCGAGCGCCTACATAACGTTTGCCAACAAGCCCGACGCGCAAAACTGCATCGATCTCATTGACGGGTACATTCTGGACGGCAGCCTCCTCCGGTACGTCCAAGTCGCCGACGGTGTAGTGGCATGCAACGCTGGTACAGGGCGTCGTTTGGCACGACCAAGTACTGCAACTTTTTTCTGCGCAACCTCAGCTGCAACAACCCCGAGTGCTTGTACTTGCACGAGCTCGGCGAGACGGACGACAGCTTTACAAAGGAAGAAATGGCCACGGGTACGTCGTCCTCCTCGCAGACGATTCGAATCGCTGACGATGCTCTATAGACTTTGTAGCGGGCAAAGGATGCTTTCGAGACCTCACTGGCTACGACGATCGGCGGGGCACCGCCTTCCCGACGTTGTCCATGCTGCAGCCCGGCGGTGCGCTCGACAAGGTGGCGCCTACGGACGCACAGCGAAAGGCCCAGAGCGCCGCCGCCATCTATAAGTTAAGATCACAGACACCCGACGAGCGCAAGTCACCGACCCGGGCCCCGTCGTCGGCGTCGTCCACGATGTCGCCCAAGGACGAACAATCCGCCACGAAGCACCGGTCGCCCCCCAGCACATTGGACGCGCCGCCCAGCGCGTCCCCGCTCTCTGCTTCGTCGGCGTCGTCGTCGTCGAGCGCGTCGCCGGCCAAGGAAGCGTCAAAGCCGGCGCTGTATGTCAACACACATCCTCGGCAGCAAAGCCCGCCGCCCGACGCGACGCCGCTGTGGAGCCAGCCGTTTCCGCGCATGCAGCCGCCGCCGGAGACGCCGTCGCGCCCCATCCAGCACGTCTTTAGCCCCTTTGGCATGGGTTTTGACGGCGGTATCCACCGCAACACGGTGCAGCCGCCGCCCGAGCCCGCACCGGCGCCGTCGCCGAACCACGTCTCGGCGTGGACATTTGACGCGCCGCCGCCGCGCCCGGACGCCCCGTTTGAGTTTTCGGCAGTCGACGCGGCCTTTACGCCGCGCAACGAGTCGTCGGAAGCGCTCGCCGGGCTCCTCGGCGTCAAATTGAGCGCCAAACCGCTCGTGCCGCAAGGCATTGGGTCGGGCCCGAACGGCCGCGCGTCGCGCTTTTCGTTTGCCAACAAGGACGGCCCTGGCGAGTACAGCCCGTTTGGTTTTGAGTCGCAGGCGCCGCCGCCGACGCCATTTGGGTTTGCGCATCATCAGCCGCCGCCGCCGGCCGAGTATCTGCACATGGCGCCGGCCGCCGACGCGTCCGGCCTGGCGTTTTTGCAGCAGATGCTGCCGAACGTCAACATTAGCTACGGCTCAGACCCGCACCGGTTTGCAGAGCCCAACATGATGGGCGGTGGCACGGCGTGGAACCAAGATTTGCGGCCGCAAGAGTCGACGCCGTTCTGGTCGTCGCAGGGCGCGTTCGAGTCGGCGAGTGGGTTTGCGGCCGGCTTTCAAGACCCCGCGATTGTCAACCAAGGCGCGCCGTATGGCGCCGGCCCTGGCTTTTACCTCCACCGCGACGAGCACGAGCAGAGCAAGATGCAGTTTGCCCACCGGGGGTAGACGACCAAGAAGAATACACATGTACACACAACTCACACAACTCACACAACTCACACAACTCACATCACAATCACTGCGGCGGCGACGGCGTGGTACGTAGCGGGACATTTTATAACCGAATTATCGAAATGCAATCCTGTGGCCTGTCCGTCTTCTCGTACTATGCCACAGCTTGCTGGTGTGCTTGGATGCATGGCTCTATTCTGGAGCTGGACCGGCCTCTTCACCCTTCGATATCCTGTCGCTCAGCCTTGGCGAAACATCTGAGGTGTGCCTCTCAGATCTGAGCCTCTCAGATCAGTGCCTCTCAGACCTGAGCCTCTCAGATCTATGTTACGGCATCTTAGATCTATGAATCTCACAACTGAGCATCTCAGAGTCGAGAATCTCACTGCCAAGTCGAGAGACAAGATACCGAGTGCATGAAATTGAGATAAATAAAGCAAAGTCCAAGGGACGCGAGAGCCTTCGATCGGCCAAGATGGACGTCTGCGCTCACAGAATGGACGCGGCGCGGAGACACACGAGGAGCACGAGCGCGGCGGAGGCGAGTGCGAGTCGCAGCGCCATGTGCTTGAGCAGCTCGACCGACACGACAGCGAACGTCTCGAGCACAAATGCATACGACTTGGTCATGACCGTCTCGCCCATGGACGGCGACCGCTGGAGGAGATGCGCTTCGGATGGTCTAGCATCGTAGCGCTTCAGCGGGCTCGTCGACGCGCGCGGTCCATGCGCGCTGTCTTCGTAATTCGTCGGAAGGCGATGGAGAGTGTGGTGGTAGCGCATGGGTGCCAAAGTGAAAATGAAAATGAACGTCAACGAACCAGCGCGTTTGATTCTTCTCTGTGTATATGTATTACCGCACACGGTCGTTGTTGACGCAGTTCACATGCCCGCATCATCCGTGTCGCAACCCGCGAGGTCGCGCACGATCATTGTGTCACGCATCGGGTGGCCGCTGCAAGCTGGCCCTCGTGGCGGCGGCGACCGGCGGCTTGGCCACGTGCGGAGAAACGTGCATGGACGCGGCTGCAAAGACAATCATTCGTGTCCACGCATCACGGTGGCGCTGTCATGACGCAGCTGCTGTTGATGTCCACGGCGACATCACTGCGGCGACTGTCCCACGTCGCCTCTCCCGCCCTCCTTGCTTACGCAAGGCGCGGCTATCATGGTCAAGTCCTAGCACAGCCATGTAACGCATGCCCGGATATCCGAGAGATCGGCTTTTTGCGATGGCGTCGGGCGACGAGACAGGAGGCGACGATGATCCGTTCGCGGCGAACTACAACTGGCGTGCGCCCGACGACGACGACGATGACGCAGCTGTCAACGCAGGGCTGACATGTGACGAGTGCGCCAAGCGCGCCGCGCGGTATCACTGCGACGACTGCCACCAAACGTTATGCTTCAACTGCACCGATGCCATCCACTTGGTATGTGCATACATGCTGCGAAGAGAGCGGCGTCACGACTGCACGTAGATTCCTGCCTTGTCGACGCATGCGATTCGGCACGTGCGCGTCGGCGACGTCGGGTACGTGGCACCGACCCGCGACGATTTGCCCAAGATCGCCCGGCGGTTGCCGCCGCCGGCCATCGCCAAGCTCGAGCCGCATTGCTTCACGTTTGGTCAGCACGTGGTCTTTCGCGATACCGACCTCGGGCGCGGGCTTCTCTTTGGTCTCGCGCTCACGCAGACACGCGACCAGCCGCGCATGGGTCCTTGCAACGGGCAGTTTGTGCGTGTGCTCTGGCTGCGCGGCGTCGTGCCACTGCCCAACCAATGCTACCTCGCGTCGCTCACGTTCCATGGCCAGGCGTTCTGGCCAGTGCCGATTTCGACGCATGTGAGTCTCTACCACGCGTACCGCATCGCCGTCCTTGCCGAGAAGACGGCGCGGAAGCTGTGGCGCCGGGAAAAGTACGCCGGTCGGCTCCGGCGTCTGCGCGACCAAAAGGCCTTTCCGACCGAGGCAGTGCTCGACGAGATCCTCGCGCTTGTTGATACCGACGCGGGCGGCGTGACGCTGCAGCACTTAGCCCACGAACGGTTCCTTGCCGCGCTCATCAGCGGCACCAACCTCGACGGCGACGAGACCGAGACCGAGACGGACGCGCCATACCCACCGGCGACGCGCGCACGCCTCGTCCTTTGCGCGGCAAGCTGCCTCGAGCGCCCCGCCGACGTTGCGAGACGGTACTTGGACAACGTCATCCGACACATGGTGGATCTCTACGTTGGGTATGCGTGGACGTCGTGGCGCTCGTTTGTTGCTGCAGTACGAGCTGCGCTTGCGCAACAGCGCGCTAAGACGTAAGGATGCGTAGGGCCGGGAGCGAGACCGACAAGCGCGTCGGAACGCCACGGTGATCGTGCTCCAGCGTTGGGTGCGCCGGCAATGGCAGCGCCGCCGCGAAGAGCGGCTCAAGCAATCTCGCTCCAGGTTCGAACATCGTCTTGTAGCATCGCAGGACGCTGCGAATGTAGTGGGCTGAGCGCTCTCGAGGCGCTGCAGCGTTTCCAGAACAAGCAGGCGGCCGTCGGTATGATGGACGTCATTTGGGCCAAGACGCTGCGGCGGCTGCGGCGCTACGGCGTTGCCACGTGGAAGAGATGCAGTGACGAAATCAAGGTGCATCAACTCCTTCTCCTGCCTATCCTGTATGACGACGCGTACACTCGCAGGCAAGAAGTCCGATGGCACCCATCGATGCGGCGTGGCACCCTGGGCTTGGCATTCGGCTTCTCAAGTTACCGAAAGCGTATGCGTCCATGAAGAGCGACGGGAGCTTGGGCGTCGAAGACATTGCCAAGTACAAGCAATTTCGGCTCAACCACGCAGGCCCGACGTCCGTGTCGTTCTGGATCGTCCGCGGTATCGTTCTAAGGACAACTTGTCTGTCTTTCAATGGACATCATCTCTTTGTAGACCGTATTTTGATTGGCGAGTACCCCCACGGCGTCGCGTTCCCGGACAAGAAGCGCAAGGCGACCGAGCGCGTGGCGTCGCGCACGGACGCGCTCACGTGCATTCTCCTCGAGCAGATTGGCACGTTTGTGAGCTTGATGGCGTTCGACGAGCTCCGGGCATTCGAAGCGGGACTCGACCCGCCAGTGCTACCCGCAGCAACACCCGACGGGCCGTTTGGCTTCGAGACGCAGCTGCTGGAGCGGCACGCCAAGCTCAACGCAGAGCTCGATCGCGCGGTGGTGGCTGCGCAAAAGTACGCGACAAGTGCTGCCAAGAGCCTGCAGCAGGTAGTCACGCCAATGTCTTCTATCCAACCGACACGATGACCAGGCCGAGAGGGACCCGAGCACCGAGGATTTTGTCCGGGATTTGCTACTCAAGAAAAAGTCGGCCGCCGACGCCAACTTGAATACGGCGTTGGCCAACAAAGCCCGACTGCAGCCGATACGCATTCTGCGGTGTCCACTGCCGCCGCACTCGGCCACGCCCGAGGCCGAGTTGCTTGAAATCCTCAACCAACTCGAAACGTGTCTTCGAGGTCGGACTCATGACGTGGCACATTCACAAACGAGATCTTATTGTAGATGGTGAAAATCTGTATATCTTTAGCCGCCAAGGACGGGGCCGCGCCGGCATGGTCGCCGCGCTCCTCCTCGGCCGCCTCTATGGCCTCTCGGCGCAGCAAGCGCTCGAGCGCACGCAACGTTGCCACGACGCGCAAAAAGCTGTCGCGGGACTCCCGTCGACGCGGCTCGTCTCGGCGCCCGAGTCGCTCGACCAAATCCGGCTCGTGCACCAAGTGCTGTCGTCCACCGCGACCATCTACGAACCGGTGGCGACGTACGACGGCGACGCGTACCTCGTGCTTCGGCGGCAGCGCCCCGGCCTCGCGATCCAGTCGTTTATCGCCGCGCAAGGGTTTATGGTGGACGAATTCCCATCCGCGGCGCAGCGAGCGGCCGACCACGCGGCACTCCAAGCTGCAAACCGCATCGCGCTCAAGGAGAAGCGCGCACTGCAGCTGCGCGTGCGACGCGCCATGGAAGGCGTCGAGCGCCAAGCCATGGGTCTCCAAGAGGACTACAGCCGGCACGAGCTGCCGATCTGGACCGCGCGACTTGAAATGACAGCTCAAGAGATCGACTCGCGCCGCCGGTGGCAGATCTGTTTGCAGCATGCGGAGAGCGCCGGCATGACCGCTGAAGACGTACGCATCAAGTGGCCTCAAGACCACCCCCCGCCGCCACCTAATCCCGTGGACCCGAGCACGGACGCCGTAGCATAGCCACGCGCGCCTCGTCGCAGGTACTCATGACGTGGCACGCGGACGCAACAGAATACGACAAACAGATACAAAGAAGTGTTGAGGAATTACTGAAAGTCAAGGGCCGAATCGATGATATCGACGTGCGACTGGTCCGGAAACTTGGTGAGGGAAATGCCGCAGAGGCGCTGGACGACGCGCATGACCTGGCACGAGTAGCCAAACTCGTTGTCGTACCAGACGTAGAGCACAATCTTCTTGTTGCGGACGATCGTGGCCTGGCCGTCGACGATACCCGCGGCGCGGTAGCCCACAAAGTCGGACGAAGCGGCTTCGTTCGAGTTGATAAACTCAATTTGGTGCTGGAGCGGCGAGTTGAGGCTCAGCTTGGCGCAGTACGTGTTGACGGCCTCGGCCGTGAGGCCTTCCTGCTTGACGTGCAGCGACATGATCGCGAGGCTGACGTCCGGCGTCGGGACGCGGATCGAGTTGGCCGTGAGCTTGCCCTTGAGGTGCGGGAGGCACTTCTCAACCGCCGCGCCGGCCCCCGTCTCGGTGATGACCATGTTCATGACCGCCGACCGGCCGCGGCGCTCCTTCGGGTGGTAGTTGTCGATCAAGTTTTGATCGTTCGTGAACGAGTGGACCGTCTCAATGTGGCCTTCGTCAATGCCGTACTTGGCGTCGAGCGCAAAGAGGAGCGGCGCAATAGCGTTCGTCGTGCACGATGCGCAGCTGTAGATCTTGTTCTCGGCCGTGATTTCGCTGTCGTTGACGCCGGCGACGATCGTCTTGACGTTGCCTTTCGGCGGCGCCGTGAGCACGACCTTGGCGACACCCGGCGACTGCAAGTGGCGCGAGAGACCGGCCTCGTCGCGCCAAATGCCCGTGTTGTCGATCACGACGGCGTCCGAAATGCCGTACTTGGTGTAGTCGCACTTGTCGGGGCCGTCCGAGTAGATGACTTGGATGACGTTGCCGTTGGCAATGAACGCGTTGGCGTCTTCGTTGAACGAGATCGTGCCGTGGAACGCGCCGTGGACCGAGTCGCGGCGGAGGAGCGACGCGCGCTTCTGGAGGTCCTCCTTGGAGCCCTTGCGCACGACGATGCCGCGCAGCATCATCTTGGCGCCAGACCCGCTCTTCTCAATCAAGAGGCGGGCGAGAAGACGGCCAATACGACCGAAACCGTAGAGCACAATGTCGGTGGGCTTCTCAAGCGTGAGCGGCTTCTTGGGCGAGACTTGGCGCAGGATGAGCGACCGGAGCACGCGCGTAATGTCGTCGCGCGTCGGCTTCTTGGACTTGGTCTCACCGCACACGAGGAGGTACGTGCGGCCGAGGTCGAGGCGCATGGCGCTGAGCTTGTTGATTTCCTCAACGACCTGGAGCACCGGGAGCGTATCCGCGGGGTGCATTTCCTTGCCAATGTGCTTGCACACGAACGAGTGCGTCTTGATGATGTCGATCGAGTTTTGGTGCACGAGGCCCTTGCCAAAGAGCGTGACGACCACGTTGTTGCGGCGGTAGAGGTTGCCGATGATCGGGATCATGAGGTCACTCGCCTCCTCCTGGACGTTCCACGTCGAGATCTCGTTCAAGCACAGCGTGCTGAGCGCGTCGGCGGAAAGCGAAGCCATGAGTTCTTAGGCGAAGGCAAATTGCAAAGTGGATAACTGCAACCAAAAGCTGCCACTCGATATCTTGTGGGCCCCCCACCGTGCCCCGATACCATGTGCGGGGACCCACCAGAACACTCGACACCGGGCATCACCTTGCTTCCGATTGGCTGAATCGGTCCAAAACATGGGTGATGCCCAAGTGTGACGCGCCTAGTGTCATTTTATGGGCCCCGGGGGAGCCGAAACTGCTGACGTTGCCATGGACTGCAAGCGGCTGTTGACGAAACCGAGGGCATCCCCGGACAGATCTCTCCAGTACCTCGTATGTCGTCCAGCTTTGCCACGTACTACGATGCGTCCACACGGCTATCATTTGGTCCACGCACTCGGCGACCTTCGATGCGCGCGTGCTGGCAGAAAAGGCAGCCAATAGGTCGTGCAAACCAGCGGCCATTAGTCGTACGCCGCAGAGGATGAAGTGTAGCGCCGATCTGATCCAGGTCGGATTGGGTGCGCGCTCACTTCTTCTCGTGGCGAGATCGTAGATTCGAGAACAAGATGTCCCGGTAGTCCGAGGTTGGCCCCCTGGGGTTGGCCGAGAGATGCCAATCTCTCGATCTCTCTGCTGTTAGTAGCTACGACCCGTCACTTGCAGACGTGCATGCAGCCAACGAGGCAAGAGGTCGCCAAGTTGCATAGACCCAGCGCATGCTGCTACCTTGGCGCTCGCATGAGCAGTCAAGCAGTCCACCCTGCCACTTGTGATGCAATGTGCACTATGTCTTCTGAGGGTATTTATTCCCTCTGAAAATGAATAAATCACCGCGACGTCCTTGTACTTGGTATTTGTATGGATTCGGTCGAAGAATATAAATCCGACGGTTGTGTGGCCTCAAAGTTGGAGTGCAATTGGACGGCAGGCGAGCAGGATGGCCCACGGACACCACGACGAAGAAGGTACATGCGACCGAGTTGACGCCGAAGCTCATGGCCCATGTAGCGTCTACCATCGCGACGCGCCAGGCGATGCATGACCACCGCGTGCCGCTGGCCTACCGCGACCAGTGCGCGGGCATCCTCATCCCGCTCAACGAGTGCCGGCGCGACACGGGCTTCAAGCCGTGGCAGTGCCAGGACTTGCGGCACGCGTACGAAAAGTGCCAATACGACGAGTACGTATTTGCGATACTACGGCCTCGCTGACGTGGGCGTAGGTGGAAGAAGCGCTGCAAGATTCTCAAGGAAGAGAAGAAGGCTGGCAACTAAGCTTTGTGGCATCTTGCGGGCAGGCGCCTCGGCGCGCGGTATGTGGTTGCGTCACGACGTCCGAGTAGCTGCCTGCGCAATATACAAGATCCATCTTCCTTGGTATCACCCTCGTGTTCTTAGTCCTGCAGTTGCAGGCGTGCCACGACACTTCCTCCGGCAGTCGTTCATTCATTGGTCGTCCGTCGCCGCCTGCCCACGCGTTTGTTGGTCACAAAGAGACTGCTTGGAGCCCATCGATACCATCGATAGACAGACAGCATGCATCGCTCGACGTGAGGGACTTCGCCGCTCTGCACGCGCCATCCCGGTCGCCGTGTTGCTGTTGCCGTCAAGGTCATTGGAATTGTCAAGCATTCTGTTAATAATTATAGTAATACCTACGCTCGGCTACTTCGCAATATGAACTTAGACCATGTCTTGGACGCTCACGCGCTCGTAGCTTGGCGACCGTCGGCGTGGCTTCTCGAGCACGACCTTGTGCGTCGTCGATGCCAAGCCCATGGGCTTGAGGAGGCCGTCCTTTGCAGACGTCATATTCCATGTCGGTGGCTTGTACAGCTTGAGGTGGAGCGACGAGACAATCACCGAGATGGACGAGAGGGCCATCATGATGCCGGCGCAGGCCGGCGGCAGCGGGTGGTGGAAGAAGCGCAGAAAGACGCCGGCCGCGAGCGGGATCGACACGAGGTTGTAAATGACCGAGGCAAAGAGGTTAAACTTGATGCGCCAAAACGTTTTGCGCGAGAGGTCGAGCGCCGTGATGACGTCGGCGAGGTGCGACTTGATGAGCACCATGTCGGCCTGCGCCAGCGCAATCTCCGTGCCCGCGCCAATCGCAAGCCCGACATCGGCCTGCGCCAGCGCCGGCGCGTCATTGATGCCGTCGCCCACCATGGCCACGACGCGCTTCTTGTTTGTGAGCGGGTTGGTCGTCGCCTGAAGCCGCTTGATCTGCTCGACCTTTTGGCCGGGCAGCGCAATTGCCTTGACGTGGTTGATACCGAGCGCGCTGGCGACGGCGGTCGCTGTCCGGAGGTTGTCGCCCGTGACGAGCCAAATGTCGAGGCCCATGCGCTTGAGATGCTGGATGGTCGCCGCGGCTTCGGGGCGCGCGATGTCGGCCATAGCAATCGTGCCCGCAAACACGCTGTCGAGCGCGACGCAGACGACTGTCTTGCCTTCGTTTTCGAGACGGTGCATGTCGGCTTCAAGGACCGCCGGCAGCGAAATGTTGCGTTCTTCCATCCACTCGGGGTTGCCAATCGCGACTTCAATCGCTTTGTGCGGCGACTGGAGCGACGGGACGAGCGCTTGGAGGCCGCGACCGGGCACGACGTGGAACGCCGACGGCTCCTTGAGCGCCATCTTGTGCGCCTCGGTAGCCTCGACGACGATGGCCTTCCCGAGCACATGCTCCGACTGCATCTCGACGCACGCCGCATAGTACAAGACGTCGGTGGCCGAGATGTTGGCGTCTTTGGGCACAGTGATGTCTGTCACGACCGGTCGGCCCTCGGTGAGCGTGCCCGTCTTGTCAAAGACGATCGTATCGACGGCGTGGGCCGTCTCGAGCGCGCGCCCGCCCTTGATGAGCACGCCGTACTTGGAGCCGACGCCCGTGCCGACCGAGACGGCCGTCGGCGTCGCGAGGCCGAGGGCGCACGGACACGAGATGACGACCGTCGAAATGCAGAAAAGAATCGACACAAAGAGGTCGTCGCTGTGGTCGCCGTCAGCCAAGTGCAGCGCGTCGCGGTCGGCGGTAGCGACCCAGTCCATCGAGAGACTCGTGTACCAGCCGAGAAACGTAATTGCCGCAATGCACATGACAGTCGGTGCAAAGCGAGCCGCAAACTTGTCGGCGACCGCTTGGATCGGCGCCTTGTCCAACTGCGCGTTTTCAATGAGCGCGCAAATCTGCGACAGAGTGTTTTGACCGCCAACGCAGTTGGACTCGATCACCAAAATGCCGGCTTGGTTGATGGTCGAGCCAAAGACCGCGTCGCCCGACGCTTTTGCGACCGGCATCGACTCGCCCGTGAGCATCGACTCGTCGCAGAAGCCGTGGCCGTCGCGCACGACACCGTCGGTCGGCACGCGGGCGCCGGGCAAGAGCCGGAGGCGGTCGCCGCGCTGGACGAGCTCAATCGGGATCGACACGTCGCCATGCTCGGGTGTGATGAGCACGGCCGTCTTCGCCTGGAGGCTCAGTAGCGTGCTCAGCGACGTCGCCGTGTCCTTCTTGGCGCGCGACTCGAGGTACTTGCCAATGGTAATGAACGAAATGAGCATCGTCGACGACTCGAAAAAGTAGTGGCCGCGGTAATTCGGCAAGAGCGTGCAGCCGACCATCGACACAAAGCTGTAGAGGTACGAGGCGGTCGTGCCGACGACGATGAGAAAGTCCATGCCCATCATGCCGTGACGCAAGCCCTTGTACGCGGCCTTGTAGAAGCGCGCGCCAATGCCAAACTGCACCGGCGTCGCCAGCAGAAACATGATGAGGCACATGCGCGTAAGGCCGTTCACGACCGGTTGCATGAGCCACATGCGGCACGACGGGATGTTGCCGAGGACCATGTGCACAACCATCGCCGGACCCGAGAACACGAGGCAGATCAAGAGCAGTCGCAGCCACGTTTGGTCTTCCGAGACGCCGCTCGGCGCCGACGACTGCGTCTGGATCGTCGCCGCAAACCCAGACTTGGTGATCGCGTCGAGAACGTCGCGGGGGCCTGTCGCCGCCATCTGCTGCAAATGCACAGTCGCGACCTGCTGCTCGATATCGACAGTGGCGCTCACGACGCCGACGAGCGCTTTGATGGACGACTCGATCTTGATAGCGTCGGACGCGCCCGTGACGCCAGCGACAGCGTACTTAAACGACATCGAGTCGTCGTCTGCGTCCAGCGTGTTGATGTACGTCGGCGTGTAGCCCGCGTCGCGGATAAAGCTGCCAATTGTCGTCCGCTCGTCCGTGATGATGCTGCGGTCAAAGACGACCTCGGCCTTGGCCGAGATGAGCCCGACGCGAATGTCGATGATCCCCGCTTCATGACGCAGCGCACCTTCGATGCCCTTGACGCACGCCGCGCAGCTCATGCCTTCAATCGAGAAGATCGCGTGCGGGTGGGATGAGTCGCTTTCAATGATCGGTACGGAGACGTCCTCGACGGCGTGTGAAGCGGCGGCCTTGGCCTTGGCCGCGAGAAGTCGCCGGCAGCGCTCGCCGTGGTTGAACGGGTACGCGTCAAAGCCGACGCACTCGACTTCGTCAATGAGATCTTGCACCGTCACGTGGTCCATGTGATCGGGATACAGCGTGATCGTGGCCATGGCTTTCGGGTAGTCGACGACCGCCGACTCGACGCCAATGGTCGCCGACAGAGCATTCTGGACCGTCGTGCCGCAGTTCTTCATGCACATCATCCCGTCGATGCCAAGGCGGATGACGTTGCGTGGCAGCGGCGTCTCGTCGCGGAGCACAGCTTCAAAGCCCACCATGTCTAGCATCTCGACGAGGTTGTCGGGCGACCCATTCGGTGCCATCGTGACCACCGCAATGTGCTCGTTGTAGTCGACGACCGCGGCCTCGACGCCGTCGACGCTCCGGAGCGCGTTCTGGACCGTCGTCCCGCAGTTCTTCATGCACATCATGCCATCGACCTCGAGGACGATCCGCATCGCGAGCAACTTGTCCGACTGGTCGGCCATCGTGCTCGTGAAATTCGGAACTGAACGCTCCAGCCGGGATCGGCGAATTAATTTGTTTTTTAATTTCTATGGACCACTCCAGCGTGGGCATAAACCAGGCGGCTGCAGTAATATTATTCGAACCCCGAAAATATCAGCGCATACAAATTGCAAGAGCCATTGTGTTCCGCGGACCGTCCACGAACGGGCAGAGAGGTGTAACGGGCTCTTTAACGTGCGTTAAAACGTGCGTTAAAGTACGTTTTATTCCTTCCTGCCCCACTGCGATGATGGACGACGAGAACGATCGGGTCAGCAACGAAGCCGCTGGAAACTAGGCATGTTGAAAGGTAGCACTGCACGTCCGTTGCGTACCGGTAGTACCGGTAATACTAGTCGTATATATGAAGTGTAGCTGGGATCAAGCTCATAGCGCCCGTCTCGACGGCGAGCAGTCTCCACAAACTTGCTCTCGGCGCGTGGCTGTGTCCAAGTCGACAATTGTGGTAACGGCTAGACCTGCATGGTCGAGAGACTGGCGGAAGAGATACCTGAATATGCGGACGCGCTGCGCTGACGGAAAGCGTGCGACGGAGAATAGCTCACGATCATCTTGGACGCCAAATAAGATCTGATAGCATGTTGCGGCATCATGCAACCCGCTGCCGTCTCCGTGGGACGATACGCTGCTTATACAATGAGCAACTTGCCGTCGTTGCATGGCCACGAGGGTGCATGATTCTAGCTACTTGTAGCATCCGACCTTGCACTTGTTGCGCAACTTTCGAATGCGTTCGCGATCTGACCCGCTTCAATACCCGCGCCCAAGGCAAAACGTTTAACGCATTGCGTAAAATGCACATCTGCCTCTCCATCGCTCCTGCTCTCTGGACATCAAGCAGGCACGCGCTGGATGGTCTTCGCGCATTGTGATTCGCTCGCTCTTTCATGCGACATGCGCCGGTCTGCGAGCTTTGCTCGGGCGAAGATCGCATAAACGGCGGGCCTGCGTCATTACGTCGATTACCAAGCTGCAAGTGTTTCGAGAGGCGCCTTGGCTGATCAGTCGCTCAAGTTGGAGAGTAGGGTCGTGTGGTGCGAGCCAAGCGACTCGCTGAGCTTATTTTCCTCGTCGCAAAACTGCGCGAGGAGCCGAAGCCGCGTCGACGCCCAGCGCGCGCGGTCCTGCCGCTCGAGCTCGAGTTGGTCTACGACGCAATAGGATGAGTGAACGCGTGACGTTCCGCTTTGGACAACCTTGAAGCGCCGAGATGCGCTCAATGAGCCCTTTGCGATCGTCCACAACGTCCTAGCACCATTGTGAGCGACCACGACAGTGACTCGTCCAGCGACGTACGCGCAAGTTGGCCTCCAAGCCCTCGATCGTGCTCTGCAACACCTTTTCGCGCTTGCGCAGCTCCTTGTTGGCCTAAAACACAAATATGACGTGGCAAGACAAGCTGCTAGCGTGGACTACCTCGTCCAAGTGGAAGCGGTGGCGCTCCCGCACGACCATTTCACGCTGGCTGCTCGTCGCCCTAGGACACGCATCAGATATCGACGCGGTGGAATTGCAGACAAGCGCTCGTTCTCAGCGATCGAGTTCTCCAGCTCGGTAATATGACTAGTTTTCTCGTCGAGCTGCTTCTGCAGCACCTACCATAACACCAGCGTCAGACGGGGTCGTTCGCTCGTCCTCGTGCACTCTACTTCGTTGGTGTTCTGAAGCGCATCGAGTTCGTGTTTGGTCTCGATCTCGAGGACCTTGAGCTTTTGCTCGAGCGCGTGGTTCTTGGCCTCGAGGTCTGTCTGGGTCTTGCTCTGCGCGTTTTTGCGCTTCATGAATTCGTTCATGCGCTCCTACATGCACCCATTGTCCTCACTCTGCTCGGCAATCGATGGTTTGGCGTACTTCCGACTCGCAAATGACGCGGTCACACTCTTGGATCATCGCGGTCTGACGCGTCGTTGTCGCCACGAGCGATGCAATCTAGTTGCACCGTGTTCAGCAAGCTTCGCGCATTTTGCCACAGGAATACTTTTTGGTCCATTTCCGCTTTTTCCGCTTCGAGTTTCCCGGTCGCGGCTTCGAGTCCCTCGATTTGCGCCAAGTACTTTTTTTCGAGGTCGATGTTGGCGTTCTCGAGGCGCTCGATCTTCTTGTCGAGCTTCATTTGCGCACTCTCCTACCCGCGATTTGAGGCTTTGCAAAACAAATAACCAACGTACGTGCAGGCAGCGCAACTCGTCCATCTCTTCTTGCTGCTGCTGCACCTTGGCCTCACGGTCCATAACGTCGTCTTCGAGTGCAATCACTTTGGCCTCGTACGTCTTGGTGGTTTCGTCGACCATGCGCTGGAGGTTGTCAGTCGCCATGGACCAGCGCTTCTCCAGTGCGACGCGCTTTTCCTGGGCGTCGGCGAGCGCACTGCGCTTCTCTCGGTATGCACTCTCGAGCCGGTCGTATTTGGCCTCGAGCGACGTGAGCTTGCCGGTTTGCTTTTCCAAGTCGGCTTCGACAATTTTGAACCGGTCCGTCTACCGTGCATTCGGATACGCAAGTGGACCTCATCTTTGTAGCATCAACCTCTTGGCGCAAGACGCGGTTCTCGCCGCGCTCCCGCATGAGCTCGATCTCGAGCCGCTCGTTCTCGTGGCGAATGTGCTCGACCTACAACGGAAATGTCTTTACCGAGCTTGTCTTTGAACGTGGAAACCTGAAGCCGCTGCTTCTTGAGGCGCTCGACCGACTGCTGGATCTCGGTGAGCTCTTGCTGCGACTCAGTCATCAAGTAGGGCGCAGGCATCGGCGCAACCATCTTGGTTGGAGCCGGCTTGACCCCAGACAACGAGGCTGGATGGTCAAGCGGCGACACTACGCCGACCTCCTTGACGACCGAGAGCGCACTCCGGGGCGAGAACGACGTCTTGAACGGCGTCGTCTTGAGCGATGTCGTGCTTGCGTAGCGCGGCGCGACGGCCGACCCGAGCTCGCTGTAGGACATGGACATTGTCGCCCTTTTGAGAACGCGCCAAGTAAGATTAACTGCGTAACGCCCGCCGCCTGTCTGTGGTTTCCAGATCCCCTAGCCCCAGGGTGAAGCGCAAGGGGCGAAGTGCCTGGGCAAAGAGGTGCATGCCCCGTCCCACCTCACCATACTGCTCTCCTAGCATACTAATGGTGTTGTGTTGCTGACCTTGTTCGAATTTGTTTTTCGACAAAACGTAAGTAAGGTCATGAATAAGTGTAATTCTAGTTGATAGAAGGTTATGCAAGGTACCGAATCTCGGTGTGTGTGCTTTGTTCAACTCTACGAGATTGTGCAGCACTGGCCGCCTGCGCAAGCTGCGGGTGACGCGCCGTTGTCGTCATCGTACGCGGTCTCGGCCCGTGACGTCTTGGTGTGGTCGACGACGAGGCTCTTTGGCGCCGTTGGGGCCGCTCGTGCAACTGGCTTCATTGCTGCCAAGTGCGGCGACACTGTCGGCGGCGCGACAACGACTGGGCCGTCAGCTATCACCGCGGTCTTTTCGTTGTTTTGAATGACGCTCGACGAGTTGTCCATCTTGATGACTTCTTCGTCGCGAACATCACTGCTCTCTTGCTTGAGCACGCTGGCCTTGGTTGGCGTCAGGACAATCTCGGGCGCCACGTACGTCTCTTGCGGCTGCGCAATCTCCACCGCAAGCTTGGCCTCGGCGGCGGCGGCCTCGAGGTCTGCCTTTTCGACAGTGCTCGTCCGCGACGCGTTGGTGACGCTGTCTCTGGCCACGGGAGACGTCGGTGTCTACGCATTTGCATGAACTTCAACATGCTGTCCATCGACGAAAGCATACGAGGGGCGGGATGCTGTTATCGGCTTGGCGAACACTGAACGTGACCGGTGTGCCCTTCTTGGCACTCGAGAGGTACCCTCCTGGCGTCCCCTTGAGCCGCTTGTAGTAGGTCATGGCGTTGTTGAAGTGCTTTCGGGTACGGTTCGAGTCGTGGACCGTAATGACAAGGTCCGCATCATCGAATTTGACCACCTACGGATATGGTGACTACGATGCAGAAGAAGGAATGACAATGTCGTACCCCGCTGCTGTTGGGCTTGGAAAAGTAGCACGTCATCTCGCCCTTTGCGCCCGCCTTCTGGAGTCCGATAAAGTCGCCGGCGCCTGGCGGGTCGTTGTTGAGCGACTGCACGCCACCCTTGGCGTCCACCACGTGCAGAAAGAACTGCTGGTTGTACTTGAGCTCCGATGCAGCGGCAGTACCAACCAGTGGTGCGCTAATCCGTGAACATAAGACACGGAGCGTGTAAAGGCTGATGGAGCATACATAATGAAAACAGCTTGGTGGGCCTCGCCTTGGGTCGGTGGGACGGCCAGTACGCGCTGCGCAGACTTTCCCTTGCCTTCTTGGACGAAGGCCAAAAGACCACCGTCACCGGGAGCCCCGGGACACGCCGCATGAAGGCTGATCCGGTCGCCAATCTTGACGGCCGGGACTGTACTGGCCGCGTCGGTGACGATGGGCGTCACTTCGACCTTGGCTGCGGAAGGCGCCACGTCGACTGACGGAGAGACCTTCATTGCATCCGTGGTCACGGGTGCCTTTGACACATTCTGGCTTACCGTAGCTTCCTTCGCGATGGCGGGAGCTTCCACGGCCGACACGGCCACGACCGAGCTGGCGACGATGGCAGATGGCTTGTTGTCCTCGGCCATGGAGCGGATCTCAATGCCAGACTTGCTGCCAAGGTCGCGCTTCGTGATGGACGGGATGCGCGTCAGGTTCTTGCTCGAGCCGCCGAGGTCCGTCGTCGAGCCCGGCTTCGTGAGCGTGTCGACCTTTGTCTCCATCATGATCGACCCACGCTTCATGGAGGCGTCTACCTTGCCGTCGTTGCCGGTCATCTTCAACGAGCTATCGCGCTTGAGGTCGCTCATGGAGCCGGCCTTCGTCGGGGCTACGCTGCTCTCTACTTGGCTCATCTTTTGCTTCTGTTCTGGCGGCTTCCCGAGCAAGAATGAAACCTGCCGCAGGCGTTGGCTATTTTTAGATCGCATTCCGGATACGATACTATCCGGTTGCTATTTTTAAAAGCGCACCTGATTGCCTCTTCGAAAATAGAATTCGAAAAGCGGTGCGCCTTTTGAGGTGCGCTTTTCTAGCACAGTATCCGGACGGGCGGCCCGTGCGGTCCGCACCCGACCACAGCGCGATGTGGTTTGTCACGGACGGCGGCTTCATCGTGGCGCTCCTGGGCATCGCGCTCATGCTGGCTGGCGTCGGCCTCTGCCTGAGCAACATGCACGGGTGGCTAGGCGCGTCGATGGCCAGCGGTATCCTCGCCACCGGCCTGCTTGTGCTAAGCGTCCTCACGGCCTCGGCGCATTGGTACACGATGACAACCAACCCAGGCACCGTGCCCAAGTACGTACAAGTGCTTGCGGCGCCCGCGAGTGACGACGCTGACGCCGAGCATGTGCCATTGCAAGATGAAGGCACGACGCTCCACTGCGACCTTTGCGACGCGGCGCGCCCGAGATGGTAGGAGGCGTCGGTGGAGCGAGGCTGTATATGACAATGGGCTGTATATAGTGTCACGCACTGCGACTCGTGCCAAGGCTGCATCACCATGATGGACCATCACTGGTATCGCATCCCATCATCGTATCGTTGACGAATGAAGCGATTGCGTAGTCCATGGGTCAACAACTGCGTCGGGGTCGGCAACCTCAAGAACTTTGTGCTGCTGCTCATCTACCTCTTCTCGACGTGCGTCTACATGGGCAGCATGACGGTAGCCCAAGTCGCATCGTGCCCGGAGACGTGCGGCCTCGACGACGGCAAGCAGCCGGGCAAGGCCGGTGTAGCCGTCATGGCCGTCGCGTTCATCTTTGGCGCGCTTGCCGCCATCATGCTGATCCTCGAGGTCTTTAGCATCCACTACGACGAGCGCATCGCGTGGATCGTCCAGATGACGCGTGCGCAGGACCGACGCGTGAAGAGAGCCACGCTGACGCAGAAACTCGGCGTGCTGTTCGGCAGCGCGACCTTTCGATGGCATTGGCTTCTCCCGGGCCGCGACGTGCATCGGCACCGATCGGCTGCCGACATGGACTTCATCCTCGGCTACCGCCCGCTCTTTCACGAAAGTTAGCTTGTTATTTTGTTCGCTGTACTGTGCGAGGTCCATGAGTTTAGTACGAAAGCTGTGGCGAATCTACATTTCGAGATATGTTGGTAGACTATGGTCATGCTTGCGCAAACCACCTTCTTTTACCACTTGCACTCGTGCTCCAGATCTGGTTGCCCAAATTTGCCACTCGGCATAAGATCCTTGTTGGCCGACCTTCAATTCGGCTTTGTCCGAATTAAGTTGAAATTCGGTAATTTATTCTTTTGCGTGGGAGGCAGAGGCGACCTGGGACCGTCATGGCGTTCTCGATGAAGCTCAAGCCGGGGAAGAAGGCTGTCAAGCCGGTGATAAACCCGATGGCGCAAGGACCCAAACTCTTCTCCATGGACGAGCGCCCTCCAGAGCCATCACGAAGGACCAACCTACCACCGCCACCAGTGCCTATGCTGGCCGTCGTCAACCAGAGCAAGTCGGACCGCGCCGTCCAAGAAGCGCTTGCAAGCGACCCGAACGCGTTCGACTATGATGGCGTCTACGACTCGATGCAGGCCGAGCGCGTCAAGCAAAAGGCGGCCAAGAAGGTCCAAGGGGTCCCGCAGTCCAAGTACATCAACGTGCTCCTGGAGAAGGCCAAGGTGCGCGAGATTGAGCACGACCGCATTCGCGAGCGCCGCCTTCTGAAAGAGCGTGAAGAAGACGACAAGATCCACGGCGACAAGGAAAAGTTCATCACGTCCTCGTACAAGCGCAAGCTCATGGAAGCCAAGCGCTGGGAAGAGGAGGACGCTCGGCTCGCCGCCATTGAAGACGCCCAAGATGTCACCAAGCGGGGCGAGCTCGGCATGGCCGGCTTCTACGCCAATTTGCTCACCAACAACATTGCGATGGGCGGCGACGTCGAGAAGGCGACAAGCGCCTACACGACGGGGCACATTTCCGAGGCGTCCAAGCGGCAAAAGGTCGTCGACGACGCACCGCAGACCAACGAGCCGGCGGCGCCTGCCAGTGAAGACACGCCTGTGGACACAGTCGCTACGCCAATGGACGAAACGTCGTCCGTCGACGCGCCCGTGAACGAGACGATCCAGAACGAAGTGCCGGTCGCGCCGGCGAAGAAGAGCCGGGAAGACTTGATTCGCGAAGCGAAAGAGCGCTACTTGGCCCGCAAGCAGCAAGGCCAACAAGGGTAACAATACGAGTCTCAGCAGTGTGGATTATAAGATTATAAGCAGCCTCCTACGATGACGCGGGCAGCGTCGGCGCCGCAAACTCGTCGAGCCGTCGCACGTCGTTGATGTCGCGGAGCATGTTTTGCTCGGCGCGCTTCCGAGACCGTTCTTGGACGAGCTCGTTGAGGTACATGCGCTCGGGCAGCTTTGTCTTGGTGGCTTGGTTCATGAGGCGCAGTGTCAGTTGCGCCTTCTCGCGCGGGACCTGCGGTGACTGGGGCGCTCGCGGCTTGCAGAGCCCAGGCATGTAATGGCCCGGCGCCACTGTCTGTGGCTGCAGCGGCGATGTGATGTACACTACCGAGCGCGTGAAGACAGCAACGCACACGTCGGTCGCACCTTGTTGTCGAACCTGCACGATCGTATCTCGCTTGCCGCGCGGAATCGTGGGCAGCCTACGTCGGCACACTCAAAGGCGGAGCGGCCAGCCACAAACGTACGCCGGCGACTTGATAAACGTCGAATGGGCCGCGAGGTCTTGGTTGAAGCCCGGCGACGGGGTGTCGTACTTGGTGTTGGAGCAGTCGAGCGCGTCAAAGAACCGGTGCTCGCCTTGGAGAAAGCCGAGAGTCTTGGACCGGTGCAACGTCGGATTGCCCGTCCTACAAGCGCTTTTAGATGGAAATAGAGCAGATCGAGCGCACGTGGCGGGCCGAACGTCGTCGAGGAGCTTGGCCTTTTCGTCGATAAGCGTGTGGATCTTGGTTTTCGTCTCGGCCACGAGCGCCTTTTGTTTTTCGATTGGCAGTGACTGCAGCACTTGGTTCTTATGGTACTGGATCTCGTGGATCTCGCGCTCAATGAGCTTGATGCGTATGCGCTGGGGCGTCAAGTCCTTGAGCGGTGCTTTTCTGGACACAAATACAGTGTTGCGAGCGATGCAACTGCGACAGTACCGCAAGAGGTCGTCGAACGGCGGCGTCGTGTACACCGCACCGAGGTTGGCCGTATATTGACCGGGCCCTGGGGTACCTGGCTTTTGGATCCGCGACTGGTTCGTCTCTGGCCAAGTTCGAGGTGAGCACGCGCTACCGCCGTGGTGACGTACTGTATGGCGTCACGGCGCGCGGCGGTTTGAAGCCGGTTTGGATGCGCTCGACGGGGTACCTCCCGGGGCCCGGCACCTTGTTGTCCTGCGCGCTTCCAGGGTTGTACATGGTGCACTATATGAGGGTGTACCCAAAACGACAGCGGTCGCAGTGCCTCGCGCGTGTCGGTGGCTACGCAACGCGATGTAAGCGTCACATATATCACTTTTGTAGACCGTTGAACGCGTGGTTGATGCCGTCCACGTCGTCGTCGTGGATCGGGCTCGCGAGGCAGCCCCAGTGCTCATATAGCCGCCTCGGACTCGGGTGGCGCTGTCCGTCAGTCATGGAATGATCAACTTGGCGCTAAAATTAGGCGGCCAACCAAAGTGCACCTGCGAGCTCCCGCGCCAGCCATGGGCGACGCCTTCTTCGCGACGCGGCAGACGACCGCGCGCCACGTGCCGCTGCGCACCTCGAGGTTCTGCTCTCCACGCGTGTATCGTCTCACGGTGGCGCTAGCAGTAGCAGCAAGACGTTGGCGGCAACCGCCTCCTCTCGCCCATCACCGGTCTGTTGCCATCGTAAACATGTAAAGCTTAGAGCAGTGTCCAGGCGACAACACATTGGGCGACCAAGCCGAAGCCGACGACGACAGGGGCCGCGGTTGTACGACCCAAGACGGCGGGTGCCGGCAAGAAGCTGCAATATGCGCTCACGTGCGCGCGGATGCTCGCAGAGAACAAGGCGTCGGAGCTGCAGCGCAGACAACTACAGAAGCCAGTGCCGGGGGTATACTTTTCCGTGGGAGCAATGCATTTATAGTGCCGTAGGTGCCCCGCTGCAAAAGCGCGGCGCCGACGCGAAGCAACCAGCGCGAACTTGTCACACGCACGCGCGCCTTTGAACCCTTCGCGCCTCGGACGCTGACGATCGACGAGCTCCAGCATGCGTTGGAAGAGATTGTGCAGGCCACGGACGCCGCGAGCGTGCGGGCCAAAGGTCTTTGCGGCTACGAGCTCGGGCCTGTCATTGGCTCTGGGACCTTTGGCAAGGTCCGATTGGCGACGCACAAGGCGTCCAACCAAGTCGTCGCGATCAAGTCATACGAGCGCAGCCGTGCCCGGGACGCGCACCAGTGGAAGCGCATTCAGTACGAGGCCCGTGTGATGGAGCGCCTCGATCACCCGTACGCGGTGCTCATTCCTGCAGAGGTGACTTATATCCAGAACCGTAGGTGCATCATTCGGCTCTTTGAAGCGATTGAAGATCCGTCGACTTTGCACTTGGTCATGGAACACGTGACGAGCGACGTGACCAATTTGTGCGAGTACGTCAAGCAGCAGCGCCGACTGAAAGAAGCTGACGCGGGCCCGCTCTTTGCCCAAGTGCTCTCGGCGCTCGTGTACATGCACGACCGGCACTGGGTGCACCGCGACGTCAAGCTCGAGAACGTTCTTTTGGACAAGCACGGGCTTGTCAAGCTCGTCGACTTTGGCTTCTCGGCGCTTCAGACCGCCAAACCATTCCAGACGTTTTGCGGCACGCCTTGTTACATGGCGCCCGAGATCGTCCAGCGCAAGAGCTACTGGGGCCCGCCGGTTGACGTCTGGAGCCTCGGCATCCTCCTCTATGCAATGCTCTCGGGCTTTTTCCCGTTCCGCGCGCGCAACTACAACGACTTGTACCGCAAAATTCTCCGCGGCGCGTACGAGATGCCGTCGACGCTGAGCGCCGATGCCCAAGAGCTGCTTCGGGGAATGCTCGACGCCGATCCGACCAAGGTACGGCGTTGTATGTCAACCCTTCTCTGATCGCTTGTAGCGTCTCACGATCATGGACGTTCGCGCGCACCCGTGGGTGCGTCGGTTTGCGTCGCCAATGCAGCGTCCGTCCGCGCCGTTGTACCGACAGATCAGCCTCGGCACGCTGCCTCCAGCGCTCTCCAAAGAGCTGCGCACAAGCGTGCTGGACGCAATATCGGCGCTGGGGCTCTCGCGCCACGACGCAGAGGCGGCACTGCGCGAGAAGCGCCACAACAGCCTCTCGACGCTCTACTACTTGCTGCTCAAGCGCGCCGAGTCGCTCTGCTATGTGCGCGAGGCGCCGCCGCTGGTCCAGTCACGCCCAATGACGTCGCCGGAGGGCCAGCACAGTCTCGCAACGCAGCGTGTGCTTATCGAGAGCCTCCAGGAGAGCGACGACGAAACGGAGATCAACGATATGGACCGGACGCCGTCGTCTCTTGTGCCAAGTTCGCCCCCCGAGTGCGACGAAGGGCTCGCGAACGACGACGACATGCGCGACGTCTTGGCCATTCTCAAGCAGACCGAGCTGCATCGCCGATAAGATGTCATCGACTACAACTAGATTTGGCGCGTTTTATCACACCCGCGACGTAGTGTGGGGTTTTCGACGCGGCTCTTTTGCTGATTTGTCGCTTGTTTGAGGCTTTTCCAGTCGCGGCAACGACGTGGGCGCGGTGGTCTCGGGCACCGGCTTGCATTTGGGCAGCTTGAGCTGGGGAAGTGGGATCTTGGGCAGCTTGGCCTGTGCCGCCTTGGTTTCGTCGGCCACCGCACGGAGCTCCGAGTCCATTGCCGCCATGGCGACGATGGCCGCGTCGATTTCACTGCGCATGCGCTGGACTTCCTGACTCGTATGTAGTTGGAACTGGGCCGCTTTCTCACTGTAGTACTGCTCGTCGGTCTTGAGTAGGGCGGCTTCGCGCTTTCGGAGCTTGGCGAGCGCCGAGATTTTGGTCGGCGACACCCGTTTCGGCTCGTTCAAGTCCCGCCACTGGTCTTGAAGCGCATCGTACCGGGTTTGCAGCGCGTGGACTTTGGCGGTGAGGTCCGCATTGCACTGGTTCGTTGGCGCCTTCTTGCACGCCTGCACGCGCAGCTTGACGAGGTCGAGCTCGTCCAACGACGCTTGCAAGATGGCGTGCCATTCGTTGGCGTCGATGCTTTCTTTCTGGCGCATCGTGACTTTGCGCAAGCTCTTCTTCTCGGACAAGAGCGCTTGCAGCTGGAGCTCGACGTTCTTGTCGAGCATCTGCTGCTGCGGTGGCGACGGCTTGCGTTCCAGGAAGCGCCGCTTGAGCTTTTCATTTTCGAGTTGCAGCTGCTTACACTCGGCGGCGGCGGCGTCGAGATCCGCGTCCGTCACTTGCGGCCGCTTGGGCTTGCACGTACGCGGGTTTGAGCCCGCCGGCTTGACAGGCTTTTCGGGTTTTGCCGGTTTTTTCGGTACTTGGGCGTCCAATGTGGCCGCGATCGTCTCAAGGGCGCTCTCTTCACGGAGCACGACGACCGCGGCGCGGCCGGCAAAGCTCATAAGAATGTCGTCGACCTGGTCGTGGTACGCGAGGAGCTCCAGCCGGATGCGCTCCTCCTCGACCTCGAGCGACGTCGCTGATTGCTCGAGGTCCAGTTGGTTTTCGATGCGGCACTGCACGAGCTCGTCGTCGGCCACCATTGTGCGCAGGACAAACACCACGTGCGGAATGAGCCCCCGAGCAATGAGCGCCTCGGCATCTTCGATCGACTGCGGAAAGCCGTCGAGAAGCCAACCGGTCGTGAGGCAGTCGCGCCGCTCCAAGCGGGTGAGCACGAGCTCTTGAAGGAGCGCCTTGGGCACGGGCTCCCGACGGTGCACGTACTCGCCGGCGCTTTCGCCCAGCACCGACTTGCGCTGGATCGCTTTCAACAGCGATTGCTCAGCGTTCAAGTGCACGACCGACACGAGGCCACGGATGTACTGCACATACAGTTCGATCGACAGGCCCGGTGGCGCCAAGAAGATGACCTTGGGCGCGTGGCGGACACTTGCGACAGCCGTGTCGACCATGGCTTTGACCCGCGACGCTTCGAGCTCTGCGGACGACGCGTGCATGATCGCGTCCAGTGCTGCAAGCGTCATCGGGCCCGATTGGAGTCGTTCTTGCAGCGCCTTTTCAGGGTGCATCGTCTGCGGCTTTGGGTTGCTCGTCGTCGTAGGGAGCTTGGACTTGGGCTTCGGCTTTGGCTTCTCGGGGGCGACACCAAGGTTTTGTAAAGGTGCGAGCGCTGACTGGACCTGCGCGGTGATGGCGGCTTTGCTACTCGTGACGCCGTCGACGTGGACGATGCGAATGGCATTGGCTGCAAATGCCGCGACAACAGCCTCGGCGTGCGTGTGGTACGTTCGGAGCCGGACTCGGAGCGTCTCTTCCGTATCGTCGTCTCGCTGCACGACGGCGACCCCATTGGGCGGTGGGTTAAAGGTGACGTGGTATGACGCGCCTGTGGTCGGATCGATGCGGCGACCTGCGATGCGCGAAACGACCTCGTCGTCGGGTACGTGGAGTACGAGCACGAGGTCCGGGCGGAGGCCGCGAGCGAGAAGCGCGTCCACTTGCGCTCGTGTGCGCGGGAATCCGTCGAGGAGCCAGCCGCGCAAGATGCAGTCGGCGGCCCCGAGGCGCTCGAGCAGCATACGAATGATGACATCGTCGGGCACGAGGTCGCCTGTGTCCATCGCCGCCTTGGCTTGGCGGCCCAACGGCGTGTTGGCGGCCGCCCGTAGCATGTCGCCGGTTGAGATGTGCACCACGCCGAGGGCGGCCACGAGGAGGTCGCACTGTGTGCCCTTCCCGCCCGCGGGAGGACCGAGAATCACGAGCTTGGGGCCGCTTAGCGCCGCGTCGATTGCGTCGACCATGCCGTTCTTGGTCATCGCCATGCCGTCGAGGTCCAAGCGGCGCGTCTTGGCTGCTGCAAAGACATTTGCGACAGCGGTTGCGTGCTGGTGAAAGGTGTTCAGCCGGACGCGGATCGCGGCTTCCGTGTCGTCGGCGCGCTGGATAACCTTGTCCACGCGGTCCGGCGGCGGCGGGTCAAACGTCATGTGGTATGTCTTGTTGGTCTCGACGTCGACGCGCCGACCAGCAATGCGCGCAATGACTTCGCCGTCCGGTACGATAAGCTGTACAAAGAGGTCGGGCGATATGCCGGCGGCGAGCATGGCGGTCGCTTGGGCTTGCGTGCGCGGGAAGCCATCCAGGAGCCAGCCACGCGACGTGCAGTCGGCGTCTCGCAGGCGATCGAGGATGAGCGAGATCATGAGGCTGTCGGGTACGAGGTCGCCAGCAACCATGTAGGCGTTGGCCTGACGCCCCAACGCCGAGTCGGCGCGCACGGCGGCGCGCAAGATGTCGCCTGTCGACAAATGGACGACGCCATATGCATCGACGAGGCGGTCGCAGAGCGTTCCTTTGCCGCCGGCCGGTGGACCAGCGACTACGAGCCGCCGGCAGACACGGTGCTTTCGCCTCCGTCGTCGGAGCTGCTTGCGCACGAGGTACTGTAGCTGGATGATCCCTGTGAGCGTCTTGGCCTCGACAGCATCGTACACATAGCTCATTGGCACGATACGTGGTCGTGGCGTAGCTTCCGGGGTCGGCAGCTCCTCGGCGATCTCGGCCTCGGCGCTGCCCCGTCGCTCCATCATCGATCGATCGACGAAACGATCGCGTCCGTTATGTTTCGTCGCCCATTCAGAATAAGGAACAGCGATAATGACAAGTTGTCTGAGTTAACTACCGTCGAATCGTCTTATGGGCACCCGGCGCCGCCGACGAGCCGATGGCACGGCGCGACGATAGCCAGGAGGCTCGTGGCGATCACCCACGCAAAGCCGAGAAGGTACACAGCAACGATGGCCGCGCCGGCCTTGCGCGACGTCATGTGCGGGCTCTTCCACGCATCGAGCTCCTCGACGGAATTGGGCACAAGCCACGGGATGAAAGGCAGCGCACCGAGGCGGATGAGGCTCGTGAGGAGCGTGAGCTTCCAGATCCCGTCGTAGTGGCCGCCCGCCATGTCCTCGAGCTGGACGGGCCAGAGCCCGAGGAGCGCGTTCGAAATCGTGCTCGCAAACCCGCCCGACATGTTGGAGAAGCCCGTGAGAAGAGCGAACGCGACCGCCTCTTGGCCCTCGGGGCAGACGCGGACAAACATGATGGCCGAGGGAAGGTACTGGAGGCCGACCGCAAACTTTTGCACGGCCGTGTCGCCGAGCGCGAACCAGTAGGGCGGGATGCCCATGAATTCGTTGATGCGGAAGACGAGGAGGAGGTTGCATACCGAGAAGCACGCAATGACGACGCTCGCAAAGGCGTAGACAAAGCGCCAGTGGCCACCGGAGAGGAGGAAGCGGCGGTACATGTAGACCCCGGCAAAGCCCACGGACGACCCGATCGCAGCCATCGAGCCGTACTGAAATGCGTTAAAGTTGTAGGCCACCGTGAGGTAGTTGCCCCACGCTGCGTTATATGTGTGCAGCGTGTGGTACAAGACAAGGAACGAGAGCGGCTGCCACGTCGCGCGAAGCTGCAGCATCTTCCAGATGCCCTGGAGCTGCTCGGGGACCGTGAGCACCTGCGCCACGACCGGCTCATCGAGCACGTAGATGGAGGGAATCGCTAGGACGAACGGAAGGAGCGCGAGAAGGCCAAAGCACCCCGACATGCTGAGGCCCCACCCCCACGTCTCGAGGTTGCTCAAAATGCTACCGGCCCAGTACCCGACCATCTCAGTAAGAAAGCGGATCATGTAGATGGTGGATTGGACCTGCCCGCGCTGCGACGGCAGTTCGTGCATCGCCCGCGACGTCAGGAGCGCGTCGGCCATGACGTCCGTCATGATGAGCCCGAGCATTGCGCCAAAGAGGAGGAGCGTGAACGAGACGACCGAGAGCGACGCTGTGCAGAGCGCGAGGATGCCATGGAAGAGCGATGCGATGAGGTACCCGAGCACCATGTAGGGCTTGAAGCGCAAGCCGCGAATCGGGTAGACGTCGGCGAGGACGCCGTAGAGCACCTACGCGCTGCCATGAGCTTGCGTCATCGATCGACTGCGTACCTTGAACATCCATGGGAGGTTGCGCACGACGCTGATCGTGCTCAGCTGCGCGTCTGACGCCTGCAGCTGCCGTGGAAAGTACTCGATGTACGCATTCGGGAACGTGATGAGGATGCCAATGCAAATGTAGTTGAGCGGAATTGCGATCGACTTGGGCGCCCAGATCGAGTCGACGCGGGGCGCACCCTTGGCCTTGAGCGACGGCGACGTCGGAGCGAGCGCGTCTACGTGGACATGGTACTCGGTGCCCCAGTCGTCCTCCATCGCGAATGGAATCGTTTCAGAAAGATCGTGGGTATCCGGCGCTCTTCATGGAAGGCCCGCATCGTCCACCGCATCTTGCTTGCTCGACAACCCAACGACAATGCTCTCTCAAGAAGACAAGACACGAAGACGACGTTGGGAGAAGAAGACGCTGCAGGACGCAAGGCGGGTTGGCATCTTATCCTGTTCGTATCCACTGCTCATACTATAAAACAGACGTCGCGCCTCGCCACTTATGCTTCCTCGCACCACTTGTTCTCTTCACGGATTTGGCTCTCTTCCTCCGGCGTGAAGTCGTTGGTGATGTTAAACGTGTCGCGGATCTCCTGCGGCGTCTTGCCCTTGATCATGCTCGCAACCTTGGCGCACGCGAGGTCAAGCAAGCTCTTGATGTCCATGTAGTTGGCCGCCAAGATGAGCTCAAAGAGCAAGTCCTGCTCAATGTCGACAAACGAAGCGTCCCACTCCGAGACCACGTCGTGCATGTCGCCGCTCCGCAGGGGCTAGCACATGGATGAGCCATTCTGATGTGCACGTACTGGATGTCTACCTTCTCGATCTCCTGCATCGGGTTGTTGTGGTGGTGGCTGCAAAACTCGATGACCTTGGAGAGCACCGTGCTCTTGACGTTGGGCAGCGGGATCTCCTGGACCTCGTCGTCGTCCTGCTCGTCCGCGATCATCGTCTTGACGAGCTCGCTCATGCAGGCCACAGAGCGGGCGACCTCGAAGCTGTCGCCGTCCTGGGACACGAGGTTCACCTTGCGCGAGTCGTCGTGGTCGGCCATGCTGCTTGACGTCGGGGAGTTTGGATTTTGGACCGGACAGAGGCCCCTCGGTTCTTTAAAATAGGTCTTGCCCACATAGAAAAGATAAGCTAATATAATACGAGACTTTTATCGATTCGCTGTTTCGTGGCACAGCCAACTTGATCTTCTTGCATACTCAAGTCAAGAGAGCGCGTATCCGGACGCCGATTGGTGGAAAAGACCGGCGCCTCGTCGCTGGATTGGCGCGCCTCGAAGCCCATGACGCGACCGAGGTCGGGATAAGCTGCTGAAATATGCATGTAGACGATGACGAGCTTTCTCAAGCTGTACATTTACCTTTGGCAAGGCAAAGGCGAGGCTGTTGTCCGTGGTACTATCAAGGATGACCTGCAGGCCTTGGGCAAACGTGGATGTCATTGTCCCCAGCAATTGACACTTTGTTGTGATTGGCTAAACCAAATTGAATTGGCCGCCGTTGATTGGTCCAATAGAGACACAAAAAAACACCGCGCACGCCATACAAAAAGGTAGACTCGCCCTAAAAATACAGAGCGCGTATTCTGATTGGTCCAAAACCGTCTGGTGGTCGTCGGCCATTGGTGGCGATGGCGCGCTGTTTGGCTGGTGGAAAGCGGCTCGGCATACATACTCACCGTGATCCTCACTTCCCATTTCCCTCTTTTCAAATGAGCCACCGCAAGTTTGAAGCCCCCCGCCACGGTAACTTGGGTTTCCTCCCCAAGAAGCGCACCAAGCACCACCGTGGTCGCATCCGCAAGTTCCCGCGTGACGACCGCTCGAAGGCCCCGCACTTCACGGCCTTCATGGGCTACAAGGCCGGCATGACGCACATCGTGCGTGAGGTCGACCGCCCGGGCTCCAAGCTCCACAAGAAGGAGGTTGTCGAGGCCGTCACGATCCTCGAGACGCCGCCGCTCGTCGTTGTCGGCGTTGTCGGCTACCTCGAGACGCCCCGCGGTCTCCGCACCTTGACCACGGTCTGGGCCGAGCACTTGTCGGAGGAAGTCCGCCGCCGCTTCTACAAGAACTGGTACAAGTCCAAGAAGAAGGCCTTTACCAAGTACGCCAAGAAGTTCGCGGAGAAGCCCGCCGAGATCGAGAACGAGCTCAACCGCATGAAGAAGTACTGCCAGGTCATCCGTGTCATTGCGCACACGCAGATCCGCAAGGTCAAGCTTCGCCAGAAGAAGGCCCACCTCCTCGAGATCCAGATCAACGGTGGCTCCATCGCCGAGAAGGTCGACTTCGCCAAGTCGTTCTTCGAGAAGCAGGTCCCCGTCGCCACGGTCTTCGGCCAGGACGAGATGATCGACATCTGCGGTGTGACCAAGGGTCACGGTTACGAGGGCGTCATCACGCGTTGGGGCGTCACCCGCCTCCCGCGTAAGACGCATCGTGGTCTCCGCAAGGTCGCCTGTATTGGTGCCTGGCACCCGTCGCGCGTCCGTTTCACGGTCGCCCGCGCTGGTCAGCACGGTTACCATCACCGTACGGAGGTCAACAAGAAGATCTACCGCATCGGTGCCGCCGGCGACGCCAAGTCGTGCATGACGGAGCAGGACTTGACCGAGAAGTCGATCACGCCCCTTGGTGGTTTCCCCCACTACGGTGAGATCAACGAGGACTGGCTCATGCTCAAGGGCGCCATCATCGGTGTCAAGAAGCGTGCCCTCACGCTCCGCAAGTCGCTCTTGGTCCACACCAAGCGCGCTGCCCTCGAGCCCATCAACCTCAAGTTCATCGATACCTCGTCGAAGTTCGGTCACGGTCGCTTCCAGACGGCCGAGGAGAAGGCCAAGTGGATGGGCCCCCTCGCCCGCCAGAACCGCGCTTAAACGCCTGGTTTTGCCACTCGTCAAAGGACTGGGGTGTCTTCGCCTGCTTTGGTAGGAGCTGGCGCCTCATGCTTTAGGGATAAATTGTAATGGGAATTTACGATTCAATCGCCACTCTTCTTTGCATACACCC